TACGATACCGTTTTGGTGGACTAAAATCTTACCCGGTAAATAAATGATAATGTTAAACTTCACCGGTAAACGCTTACCGGGTAAGTGTTTGGTAAATGGCCCCTAACTCAAATAAAATAGAACTTTGATAAAATGTTTTGTTTTATTTAGTGAAAATTCAGAAAGTAGAAAGGCTTGAAGACTAAAGGGCCGTTCCAAATGATTACCTAGGTAAGCGTTTACCAAGTCACATTGCCTTACTGGATTAATATGATAAGGACCAAGATTCTTACCCGGAATGAGCGAATGCTAGGATCGAGAGTCTTACCCAGTAAGTGATGGCGACGACTCTTACCCAGTAAGTGATGGCGACGACTCTTACCACGGTTAGCGTTTACCGGGTAAATTGTTACATACAATGTCGTTTTGGTAGACTCAAATCTTACCTGGTAAATAAACGATAATGTTAAATTTTACCAGTACACGCTTACCGGGTAAGTGTTTAGATAAACGACCCTAAATATACGATAATATTAGATAATAAGAAATAAAAATATTATTTTAACTAAGTAATATACATAAAACTTCTTATAGTGTTTATATGAAAATATAAATTTACTTAAACTAATTCGTATACACTAAAAATGATTATAGTTAATAATAAATTAATAAATATATGTCAAACATATAAAAATGTTATAATTTAGCTCTAACCAGTTAAAAATTATTATTGTTATTAGGGTGAGTAGTGAAAAACTGAGTGCCAAAATTGAACACTATTACTATCCTTACCACTTTATGTTCGGGATTATGCTTGTTTAGTTATTTTACTCATTCTATTCATAAGATATATGGTTTGCCACCAAGTTTTTATTGATTAAAGGAGGGACCAAATTCGTTATAAAAAAAAGTATATGAATGGACCGAATGAGTTAAGAAATGAAAGTATAGGGAGGGAACCCTCACTAACGACACTCTAAGACATTGTTTCTTTTTTATAAAAGCTCTTATCGGCCTCTTACGTCTGATTGAGTAACGGGTAAGGCCATTCGGACGGTTCATTTTTTCCAATTTCTTAGAGGTACTTATGTCTTACCGTCCTCTTATCTGGTAAGAGGTAAACCAACCCCTTATTTGCCTCTTATTGTTTTCCAGATCCTCAAAAGCGGTCATTTCTCAATGGTTCCTCTCTCAGTCGATTAATCTTAATTGATCATTTCTGTCAATCAATCCTTACTCCAATCTACCTCACCCTCACAAATCAACCCTCCCCTCTCTCAATTTGATTAACCTAAATCGGTCCATGGTCTCAATCTATCTTAAGGGATCTGGTATGTCTATCAAATTCTTCACCAAGTGTTTGTAGATTGAAGTAAATAAAATGTCATCGTTCTTCACCCACATATTCTCAAAAGTGTGCCTATATCAGTTGACATACTTTAAATATAAATGAAGATTGATTTTAGTTGTCATAAAACTTTGTTCATATGTATTATTATTTTTGGACCAATCGATTTACTTTGATAGGATTTAAATGTATTAAATAACTAACGATGGTATATCTGGGTTGAAAGGAATTGCTAGTTTATAATTTAGATGTAAATTTTGTAATGATGATGAATAAACAAATAAAATTGTATAAATGTGTATAAATTCAACATTATAACATTATGAAGGGTAAAACAGACAATTATACAAATTCATACACCTATCAGTTTATGTAACAAACAGTCTTGATTGATCTCTATTTCAAAAAATTATAAATAAGAAGACCCATCTATGTTTCAAAATCCGTAAATATGAAACAAAAAGAAAACCCTAAATCATAAGCAAATTAAATCAATCCATCGTCATTGAACAAACAATCAGACCAGCAGAATCAAAATCTATAATAAACATGGTATACATATTTTAGTTGTAATTATTATTTAGAATAGAAGGGCCAAACATCCATAATTCACTCTAAAAGAGAGAAGGAAAAATTGGGAAAACAAAAGAAAGAAGACAAATATATAATCAAAAACAAGTATACAAGAACATAGCAAAGACAAGAACACATTGTCTTATCTTAGTATTCAAGCCTACCACCCCCTCTCCGCCCTCCCTAAAGTAAAAATGATATTTCTCCGAAATCTTAAACACAAATATATATATATATATATATATATATATATATATATATATATATATTAGGTATTTTTAAAAAACTCTTCTCTCCTCTTTCCTCTCTCATCTCTCGGACCAATCTCCGGCCTCCAGTGAAATCAGTATCACAGTATATCACAATGGGTTATCACATTGTGTATTACAAATTGACAATGGGTATCACATTGTGTATCTTTGTTTTTAAGGTTTGAGTTGGTATCATAATATATCACAATGGGTATCACATTGTGTATCTTTGTGATTACTTGGTACCTGCCGGATTAATGTTCATCAGAGGCCGGAGATTGGAGGTCGGAGAGATTTAAGAGGAGAGATGAGTTTTTTAAAAATACCTAAAAAGTCCTCTAATTATAATTTTAACTCAAACTACCATGATTATTAATTTTCTAATTTATCCATTGATTTGTGGTTGAGATTGGATCTCACAGTTACCACAAACTAATCAGTTCTCTCTTGAATTGGCCCTATATATATATATATATATATATATATATATATATATATATGAAAGATCAAGGTGGCGTTTGTTTTTTAAAATGTGCTGAAATCTGATTTCATTTCTGATTTATTAGATGTGGTGCTGAAGTCTAAATTCGAAATCAGTTAGACTGTTTGTTTTTATGTCTGAAGTCTGAAATTACCCATGTTTGAAAATGAAAATCCTAAATAATCACACCAAAATCTTTCACAGTCCTACCATTTGTTCGAATCTGCTATTAATGCACCTCAGCCATCGAAACCATAATCTCTTTGTCTCTGTCAAAACTTCATGAATGCTCAACCAAACTTAATGATTGATTGAAACCCGGTGGCACGATTTTATTTCCGACAAGATTTTTGGATACCTCAACAGAAATTAATCTATTTCTTTCTTCCCTACGGCCCGCGTACACACGAATAAGATTTGGGTTATTAGATTTGTCAACAAGTGGTCACAAAATCGGAGAAGGGGAGGAGGCCAAAGGTGGTGGTGGTCAGAGAAGGAGTCGAGATGAGGAAGACGAAAATTCCAAAGTTTATTTTGCGCTTGAGTTCATTCCACCATTAACACCTTCTTCATATTTCTATGATTTTATTATGTTTTGATGATAAATCTAGAGTTTATTACAGTCACATCGTCACGATCGAGGGTGGAGAGCACCACAAGGACTTTGTGAGTTATGGCAGTTCTTGGAGTCTTGAAATCCATGGAGTTCGTTGCTGGGGATGGAGAAGCTCCTTGCCAAAGAAGGAGATGGGGATGAAACGTGTTGAGAGTCCAGGGAGCGATTAAGAGGATTTAAGCGATTAGGTTATCACTTTTTTGTTCAAAGTAAAATAAAAGTTTTTTAGCTCTTAATTTAAAAAAAAACATACGGTCTGAAAACAATATCGTCTGACCGATTCAAACTTAAGAGATATTAAGTGGGTTTTTTTCAAAAAACAAACAAGCCCTAAAAAATACTAATTATCATCTCAAATTTATGTAGAAAATAAATTGAGTCTGATTAGTACCAAAGGATCTAAATACAACCTTAATTCTAAGAGCCAAATTTTATCGTATCTAAAATATTGGAATTAAAATAGAAACACAATGATCGAGCCTTGAAGAGAATATTGTTAGGCTAAAGGGTCGTTACCAAACGCTAACATGATTATGCTTATCGGGTCATTTATCATACCGGATGTACATGACAAATATCCAAAATCCTAGCTCGTAAGAACAATGGCAAGAACCGAGAGCCTTACCCCAACAAGTGAAAATGATGATTTTTACCTGGTTAACATTTATAGAATAAATTGTTGCATCCAACACCATTTTAATGAACTAAAATCCTACAAAATAAGATACATGAAAGTATTATAAAAATTTACCGAGTAGGGGTTTAAATAGATGGCTTTTGAACCTAGTTGTGGATTCTAGATTTGATATCGATACAAGTTTGTATGCTTTTTTTTGGGGTTATATTAAAGAAAATGTGTGATACAGTTTGTTTGTTACATTAATGAAAATGTTGTGGAGGAAAATGAAAGGACAACTAAAGCCAATTTGCAGAAAAACCTCCCTCTTTGGGTAAAGCTCTAATCAGTGCCTTGACTTATGATTACCACAATCAACATCTAGAAGGTTGGTGAGTTTTAGGAATGACAACAAAAAAGAAAAAGAAACCAATGATGAAAACCAAAAACCGAAATGTTTGGGTTAGGTTCAAAGACGGAATCCATATATACATGTTGTAAAACCAAATTGGGTCGGTTTTTAGTTTCGGGTTTGGGTAGTTTTAATGGTGAAAGGGGAAACCAACGAGGAATGATGATTTTTACCTTTCAACGGGGATCGAGAACCCACAGAGCCCTGATGGGGAGCCTCTTTAAGATCTCTGAAGGGGACCAAGACGGTTTTGGGGATGAGGATATCGTACCTTTCCAAGTTCAGTCTTTACCTTACAAAATCTGTAGCAGTGGTAGCAGTCTCGACATCTTTCAGATCTACCTGATTTTAGTAAGATCAAAGTTTTTTACTGCAATCTTTTTTCTAATACATAGTTCAAAAAGTAAGAAACTACGTACAATGACGTGTTTTACAACATGCATTTATATTTTATCAAGGGTCTTGATTGCACCAATCGTAAAAGTGAAAGGATGATAATGAGAAAGTGATGGAAAGAAGAAGGGTTAATGGTTGAAAATTTGAAGCATTCCGAGCCGCCATGTCCAAGTCAAACCCACAAGCTTTGACCACACAAAATTTTCCACGGTCAAACTTGAACATTTTCTACTTCCTTTGCCTGACAGGTGACACCATCCTTCTCCTTAAATATCCATTTTCAGCATTCTTACCAAAACAAAGACACAAATCATTCAAATTCTCAACCATGGCTTCTTCTGGTGGCAGTTTGAACCCTTCCACTACCACTTCTCAGTACCCATCTTTCTGTTTCTCTACATCTTTCACTGACCTAATGAGCAGCAGTCATGAAGATTCCAATTGGGCTTCTCTGGGTGGTGGCAACAATGGAATTGAAAGCCCTAAACAGCCCCCAACACCCTTTTCTCCATCGTCGTTTCTTTCTACACCAACTGCTGCTGGTTTCAGCTCAAATCAGTTCTTGGATTCTCCTTTCTTTCCTTTCAATTCTAATGTAAGCTTGCTTTTCTTTTGAATCACTAAGTGTTGGTTCTTTTGTTTGTGTGAAATATTGGGTTGATTGTAGTTTTTTGTTGCAGATTGTTCCATCTCCAACAACTGGAAACTTTCCTGAAGAGACCAAGTACTCTGATTTCTCGTTTCTACCACAAACAAGGCCTCTTTCTTCCAAGATGGTATGTTCATCTCCTCCTGTTGGTTCTCATGTCTCTGGTTCATTTGAATATGTCTGAAGTGTTCAGATTCAATTTTGGTCTTGTTAACAGGAAGAACAAGTGAAAAGTCAACCACAAGACTGGAGCACATCAGAAATCCAGAAAACCAAATCAGAATCAACACACCAATATCTCTCTGATCAAACAAGGTTAGAAGATGGTTACAATTGGAGAAAATATGGTCAAAAGCAAGTCAAAGGCAGCGAAAATCCCAGAAGTTATTACAAATGTACCTACCCCAATTGTCCCACGAAGAAGAAAGTCGAAAGGAACTTGGAGGGACATATCACGGAGATCGTGTACAAAGGAAACCACAGTCATTCCAAGCCTCAAAATGCCAAGAAATCGTCTTCGAACTCTTACAACGATGTCCCAATCGACAACAATCATTTCGATTCTTCGGCTTCGTTCGGGGAGGACGACTTTGAGCAGGCCTCCTCGTTGAGTAAATCCGGAGACGACCATGAAAACGAGCCCGAAGCTAAGAGATGGTAAGTATACTTGTAAAAACCCCTTCCACCATATATATATATATATATATATATATATATATATATTGAAAGCCAGATTGTTCTGTTCTGACGTGAGCTATTAATAACTTTCATCATAGTTTTAAGTTCTTCCTTTTACTCAATTTTACATTCTCTTTTGCAGGAAGGGTGAAACTGAGAACGAAGCTATTTCAGGGCCTGGGGCTGGGAGCCGCACGGTTCGGGAACCGAGGATCGTGGTTCAAACGACGAGTGATATAGATATTCTTGATGATGGTTATAGATGGAGGAAATATGGACAGAAAGTAGTTAAAGGCAATCCAAACCCAAGGTACATTTATATAATTTTGGTCTTGTAACGAGTATAATGGTCATTTAAATCTTAACTAAAATAGTTGCATCATGTATAAAAAAATGCACTTTGAAACTTGTGCATTTTATCATTTTTTTTAAAAAAATAATACAGTTGGTTCTGAGGTAGTATACTTGCACAAACAAACGAGAGTTGGTTAGTTTAAAGGCTGAAATATACCAAGATCGTTGAATCCATCTTTCTGACATGGATTCTTGGTTACCGTTTACAGGAGTTACTACAAGTGCACATTCAACGGGTGTCCAGTGCGAAAACATGTTGAACGTGCATCACACGACTTACGAGCTGTGATCACAACCTACGAAGGGAAACACAACCATGACGTACCTGCTCCACGTGGTAGCGGGAGTTACGCCATTAATCGACCGCCGACGACCAACAACAATAACAATGCTAACAACAACTACGCTCTCATGGCTATAAGGCCTTCAGCAAACTACTCAACCAACATTCAAAACACAACAGGACGGTTGGGCGGTCAACCCCCATACACTCTACAAATGTTACAGAATCCCGGAAATTACGGGCACCCGGATAACTCGTATACGAATCAAAACCGGGGAACAGAGAGATCGGTATCGAGGGCGAAGGAAGAACCCGAAGATGACTTGTTCTTCAACTCTTTCCTAGGTTAAATTAAAGCATGAGAAGATGAAGGGAAAGTGATGAAGAGTGACTTAGTTTTAGTTCTTGCATAGGAAATTGTATTTCTTGTATCATAGATGAATAAAATATAACATATTTTTTTCACAAAATGGAAATAACAAATTGTACATGGATTTGTGTTTTCTTACACGTAAAATTTACTTTGTATCCATTTTGACAGGTAACCTGTTGATCTTATAATATTTGAAGATGTGGACACCCGTTTACCAAAAAAGAGATTGATAAACTTGATGCCCACGTCATCAATTGTTACAAGATCAGTAAAACTTTATTTTTTATTACATATTAAGTAGGAAGTAAGATTAAAATGAATATTGGAAAGAATGATCCAAGTGGAGTTAGAGATTGGTTTGTTTTGCAAGTTTGTAGGCAGAGAGCATGGCGGATGAGGCAAGGATGAAGAAGGCCAAAAACTCCATGCTGATGCAAGCGGCTGAAGAGTCCGTAAAGCTGTTGTCGGCTCCTTCCCTCATTCTGTTGGTTCGTGGTATTGCCGACGATGCTGCGGATATCAACAGGTACGCTGTAATCTACGTTAAATAAATATTCGTTATAAACTCTTGAAATATATTCATTGATGAATAAATAAAATGAAAAGAGCTTATCATGCTACTAAAATCCTGTTTCAAGTTCAGTTGATCAGATATGTTAAGTTTGGTTTGTGAGAGTATATAGGTTTTATTGGCGATACCAACCTAATCACAGGCAAAGTATCGTAGTGTAATAAGAGATCTGGACCATTAATTGGTGTTCATCTCTTGCCAATCTTATGAATTATATTTCTCAAGGGAATTGATCAGATACATCTTAATATGCATCCAAGTGTAAAGATCATTTTTTTACCCTTTTTATTTAGACTTTCTTTCTCACCAGACCCGACCCTTCAATAACAAAGATAAAATAAACAACCACAAGAGTAGTGCTTGATTGGTTTGAGTTTGGCTCCAAAGGTCATAAGTATCAGGAAGTCCCAGCTTCAAATCCAAGGAGGAATAAAAATCTTCTTGTAGCCACGGAGGTTTAAATGCGGTGACTCCGAGCTATTTGCAAAACAAGTGGTTGTCCTAGGATTAGTCGGCTCGTATAACGGATTGGATATATAGGTTAATTAAAAAAAAAAGGGAAACCGGTGAGAAGTGCAATAAACTACTCGGTCAACGATCATTTAGCTCTTTTATGCATTATTTACTTTTTAAACTATTTTTACGCTCGATATACTTTCTCATATATTTCTTATGATTTTAAATTGAATAATAATTGACTGAAAATAATACCATATTAAGGGGCCGTTTACCTAAATATTTACCCGTTAAACACTTATCGGTAAAATTCAACACTACCGTTTACTTACCGGACAAAATTTTATTCACTAAAACGCATCATATGCAACAATTTATCCCAGTAAGCGCTAACCATGGTAAGAGTCATCGTCCTCACTTACCGGGTAATACTCTCAATTCCTGCCTTCGTTCTTACCGGGTAAGATTCTTAGTTCTTGCCATATTCATCCGGTAAAGTAAAGTGATTTGGTAAGCGCTTACCCAGATAAGCGTTTGATAAATAGCACCTAACTAAATAATGTGAATATATACTCAAGTGAGGTCAGTGAAAAAAAGGTTGTAAAATACTTTATTAATCGTTAGATTAACTAACTGATTTAATGGATTTGATTAAAGAGACGGTTACAACTTTATTTTAATTAAAATTCTCTCTCTAATTTGTAAATCAAAAAAATACGAAATATTATCAAAATTTGAGCGGAACAAATTACACCCAAAAAAAAATCATATTTTTTCGTCAATTTGACATCTGTATCTTTTCATGTTTTTCTATTTATTTAGCATTTTTCTCTAAATTCAACTCTATATATATTTAGAAATTTTGATACTTTGTTACAATTTAGTTCAACCTAACATTTATTTCCTCCTAAAACACCCATCCCCTAATCAATCGTTAAAGTCTATTCTATTTTCTCATCAGTCATCCCTCTTTAATGCATTAAATGGTAAAATTGAAGGACATTAATGTATTTTTATATTTTAATAGATTTGGAACACTTTAGAGCAAAAAATGACAAATCAATGTTTTTTTTGTATTATCTCATCCAAGCTCCATTTAAGGGAATTCAAGATTCTATGGAAAGCCAATAGGCGGAGGTACAGTCTTCTGTTTTCAGTTTTTGTAAAATCAACTGTATCTTATCCAAAATTGACAATGAAGTCAGAATACCAAAGCTGGGAATGAAGGAATAAAGGTGTTGTCATGAACAAAAGTGAATTCGTAGTGGAGTGGCAAGAGGCATTCGCTAAAATGGTGTTGGATGCTAGTTATCGAGTGAATCAAGGGGGTAGCAGTAGCCATCGTTGTTTTCTCCATTATTGGATGCGTTTGATTGGATTAGAAGATGGCACGATGATTGAAGATTTGATTTTGTCGGTTGATGATGAAAGATCCGAGTTTGATACAAGGGAGGTCTGAGATTTCTTTCAAGTATTGTTTTTCAGAGAATCATATTTATTAATTTTAGTTCGGTTTTAAAATTAGGTTAAGTTATGTTGTTGGCTAAATTTAGTATTGAATTGGATTTCTTGGATAAAGTTTGTTTATTAATATTTAAAGTAGTAAATATTGAATGGCTGGTAATAGATTAAGATGATCTTGATGTTCTAGTTTAAATAAAGTTTCTATGAATAATTCATTGAAAACGATATGTGACAGATATTGTTAGCTTTGAATGATTTCATATTCACTTTATTTCTTTAGTCATAAAGTTTCGATTTTTAATGGCTTAATACAACTCACAATCCAAAATCTTTTGAAGTTAGGTTATCTTTGAGCTTACTCGATAAATTGAGTAGCTAATCTTTGTGACACACGTGCATTCGGTTTAATACAGTCATTGGCTTAATCATTGATTCACTAAGAAGAACGATATCCGACTTGCCATCTTTGCTGATATAAATTAGGTTTATAAATTTAAACCTTGTTGAAAGAAGGTTTATATTTTATTCTTTGTTTTTTTAACTTGTTTTAGTGATTGATACATGATGTTCAAAAAACGTGTATAGTTTTTTATTTAAAATATAAGACATATGACCAAATGTGACTCGTATGATAGGACCCTTAAACTACATGTAATTATAAAAGTAGAATGATGAAACCCAAAGTTTTGGTAAACGACATAGACGATGATGTTTGTAATTTACTCTATAAAATTGAATAAACTGATATTTTTAAATCAATAAAAAGATAAACTTTTGAATGAATCATTTCTTAAGAATTAAAAATTGAAAAGTAAAGAAATTGAAAAATGAAATATGTTTTGAATTAAAAATGAAGGAAGGACCGATTTTAAATGTAGCTAGGAATACACGTACCAAGAGTAACAAAATGTGAAACTAAATATAAAATGGTTCATCTTTATATATCTATACTATCTTATAAAACATTTAGCTAAAATTCTTAAAAACTCTTAAAAACTCTTAAAACTCTTAAAATTCTTAAACCCGTTCATCCCTAATCGATTTCATCCCTATCTGATTTCATTCCATATATGAATTCGTTTAACTAACTGCAGATAAACACAATCAAATACAGGATAAACATCTCATTTTAAATATAAAAAATCTAAAATATAATTAATATAATCATTAAATTCTAACATAATACTTGATTATTATCTTCATAAAATTTATAATATTAAACCAAAAATAAATT